AATTTATGGTGCTACAGTGCCACAAAAAGAAAGTCAAAGAATAATTTTATTCATAGCTCTTCCAGTCTAACAGCTTAAAAGGAAGACTTCGTGTAAGACAAAACAAAGTACAGCCATCGTGTGGGTGTCCAACAGAGGCAGAGTAATAGGTCTGAAACTGCATTTGTTAAAAATAGCAGGGTTACAACAAATTAATCATTGAAAATACATTTCCAGGTCAAGATATCTCAGTCTGGATTATACATGCTCTTGTGCAAACATAAAAGCTTATTTGTAGCCCATTTAACCCTTTCAAGAACACCAGCAAAACTTAGGACAGACTCAGATCTTGAAAAAGTCATAATGCCAAAACATAACGTGGCTATGTCTTCTCTAGTTCCCAGCTACATCTCCAGGGACTACCTGGAAAGAGAATTTGGTAGAGTTCTGAAGTACTGGTTTCTAGCACCTAATCAAACTGAAGATAGTTCAGTATTTTTAATTCCATGACAGGCCTAGTGAATATATGAAAGTTATTTAGAGGAAAAAAAATCTTATGCAGTCTTCCTGACGGAGACCAGCTCAAGACGCCTGGGACAGACGGGCTTAGGTTCTGGTGGCACAAAAGCAATGTTTATTGAAGGCTCATTCTTTTTATAGACTAGATACACTACAACATCGTAAATAATTAGCAAGTGTGAAACAAAGCACAAAGCAAAGGCTTGTGTGCAAGCAGCTGTTCTTGTACACCCTTATCCTAGTTTCTTTTGTTCTGCTTACCGAAACATAAGTTCTTTCTTCCTTTGCCAATCAGTCACTGTTGTTTTTGCTAGAAGTATCCATCCCTTTCAGGATGAAACACTGTAACACGTTACTGACCCTTTCAGGCCAGTCACGTAGTCCGCACAACAACAGTTCCCTTCATCTTCCCTCAAGGGGAGTGTATCGTTTGAATTCAGATACATCCTTAACCCACATCTTCCACAAAAACTGACGCATCTAACTCCACTTGCTTCTTTTAAATAATGCTCAATTTAATTTACAGAATACCTCTGGAGACTGTCTTTTCACATGTGCTTCACATAAACAGCCATGTTTTTACAATGGCAGTTCCAAAGCTGAACACTGCATCTTATGTTCTTCCTCTTTTAGTACCAGTAATTTAGCTTGCAAATTTTGTCTTTTCTTCTTCTTAGGTAAATAACTTGTTCCTTTGGCTTTATTTTTAAAGATTCAAGATTACTTCAAAGCAATTCTAAATAGCAGGCTGCACATTTAAGTGCATAACTAATGTACATATTTAAAAACCTTTTTAGTTTCAGGGCATGGCGTCACAGTGCGTCAGTTGCATTTCAGCTTGCAGCCACACCAGAAAGGGAGGTCTTGTTCCTTTCATACTCCTCCCATTCTCGGCCAAATGCTTTCCTTTCCCATTTTACAACAGTTCAGTAGTTGATCTGATCTTAAGGTAATCTGAATCAATTTAGCCAGCACCCTAAAGCCACTCTTCTTCTCCCTTTGACTGCTGTTATGGCCTTACTGTTAGTGGTGAGCAGTTAACTGTTTGAAACTGTTAACCTATGTGAAGTCTTCTAGCAACAAAAATATTTTTATTTTTCAGTCTACCGGCAGGGTATGAAGTGTTTGTAAGAACCTTGGATGAGCAGCACTTTGATAATGTAAGCCAATTGTGATGTGATGATGAATACATATACATATAGATGATTCTCACTGAGAAAAGTTTTTTTAGTATTTGTTAAATGAAGAGCTAGCACATTTACTCTAATCATTTTAATGCAGAGAGATTTAAACAAGCAAAGATTTTGTAATACTTTACATGCTTTAAAACCTAAAGAGAATAGCAATCACCATTTACATTCCGATATACATTTTGCCACTAGAATGTTCATGATTCCATTTTGGTTCTGTTTTGCTTATCAGCTGTTCCTAAGTGGAAAAACAAACTAGTAGCTCTGTTAAAAATGTAATGTTTGAGTTTACGTAATTCCTATGAGTGACACAGCCTGCAAAACAGGTTTGTACACTCTGAAGGACGTCTGATGTCTTCTGAAACTCTGTAGACAAATAGCTCATATTCTAGCAAGTACCCAGGGAACTAGTATCAGACAAGGAAGGAATGAATGTTGGACATGACAAGTAATTCTTTTCCTTTGAAATCAGTGGTAATACATACATCGATGCCTCTGACTAAAATGTATTTGTGACACTCCTTTAAAAAAAAAAAATGCTAAGGGAAGAGTGAATAACACAACTGGGTACTTTGGGAGCTGTCATTAAGAAAGTGTTCTTAACGAACTCCAAAGTGTTCATAAGAACTGCTGCCTACATGTTCTGTGTGCTAGTAATCTTAATTACTCTGAAAAAGTATTACCTGCCTCCAGTTAAGTTTTGCCTGACTTGCAGGATTTATCAAGGCTCAAAGAGAAAACACAAGCTTGCAGTGCAGCACTGTAGTCACTATAAAATTGACTTATTAAATGCTCGCAACAAGGGGAAAAGCAAACAATAAGAATCCACTGTGTCAGCAGAATTCACTTCGCTTAGTTCCCAGCAGAATTCACTTTGCTTGTTTTCCAACAGAATTCACTTGGTTCTCACTATTTTTTATCTCTTATTCAACACATGTAACAAATAAGCTCCTCTTTTTTTGCTATACATGTTGTTACCGCTAGAGAAAAGGATTTTATTTCTATCTCAGCTTCAGTAAAATTACAAATGTACATCTTGTTCCTTTATCCATCTCTTTCTTTCCACAAAAACCAAAGGAACTTAGTTCACTTTCATCTCTTGTGAAATTTGCTAAAGCCGAGCAATGCTTTCAAAAGTTGATAAAAGGCTTGCAGGCAGGAAAGAAATAAAATAAAATTGTAGAATGTATTTCTTACTTCTCTAACTTTCCTTTTAACCGCTTCTTCTAATCTCCTGAGACAATCATACCATTCCTGTTTCTCATCCTGCCCTTCATAGAACTGTGTGTTGCTCTCTAAAAAGAAAGAAAAAAAAACAAACAGAAACTCAATTTCTGCACCTTGAAGTGAATTCTTCTTCTTCTTTTTTTTAAAGCAATGAAGTAACTGGGTCTTAAAAATATCCTTTACCAGATGCTGGTATGGATCTTCCCCAATTTGCTCTCTTTTGAAATGGCAGCTCAGAAACTTGCTTGTAGTTTTATTAAACTCTCACCTATGTTACTGTTGTACTATGTACTATTTCGAATCTTTCTAATTACACTCCACAATGAATAACAGAAGCCCCAGCAATGTACGCCTGAAAACTACAAATGAGCTCTGCACCAGGGAGTAATCAGACTACCTTTCACAGGGTCTCCAGTCCTGGTGATGGTACGCTAGTAGTGCTTGAAGTCTTCCACTGGGCAGAGGTGTAGTCTCTAATTGTGAATGATGTTATGTATTTATTTTAAAGAGTATTATCTGCAGCATCAATGGGGAATTTTTAGCTTTCCTAAGTGCAGTCCTGCACAGCAGCATCATTCCTGGATATGACATGTCAGCACAGCTGTGAATCAACACCTGTGTTACCTGTGGGTTAGAATTTTTCATCTCACGGGCACACATGCTGCTGCTGTACACCAGAAATCACCTTGCTCTTCAGTCAGGATAAAGTTACACAAATGCCGCTCAGAAGAATTTGTGCCATTCTGCAACCAAAACTGCAGTGGATTTTGCACTGAATTGAAATTCTCACACTTTAGTTTTAAGCCTCAGTACTTTAAATGTCTGCAGCCTGCCCTTGTTGAACCTTTCCTTCATTTTCAAAGATACTTCCTTCTAGGGTGCCTTTTTTTGTTGTTGCTGGTTTGGTTTTCTTATTGTTTTGTATAAAAGCAGTTCTTCTTATCAGACCTTATCAGTCACAAGTCTCATTACCTGGCACTTCCCAGCTAATCCAGCCTAACCGGAGCTTTCTTATGACAGATCACTGAATTAGTCTGCTATAGGAATGTCAGATTCACAACTTCTAGTGCATCCTGTCGCTGAAGTGTGCCTTCACCTGCCGCAGAAGGCAGCTTTGTGGGGCCGGAGCTCAGACAGAAACAGAGCACGGCCAGACCTACAGCTGCTCTGCACGCAGCCCCTGGGAGCGCCCATGACTCGCTGCTCTCCCCTACAACATAGCGCCCTGCGACTGCTGCCCGAGCCGCTCCTAACCGCCCGCCACGCGGCGTAAGGGAAGCAGAGCAGCCTGCTACTTCCCAGAGCATCTCCGAACTGCCTTTCCCAGAGTTCCGCGGAGCAGCCACAAGCACCTCCTGAGAGAACGCTGGCGCCAGGGCTGCTGGGGCACATACAGACCTCCCGCCCTGCCGAGGCCTTGGCGCCAACTGCCCCTTTCGTCTCTCCAGAAACTGTAGGCGGAGACTGCACAAGCGAAAGGCGAGCGCAAAGACTGACGGGAAGTGTGGTTTCTGGGTGCACAGAAGACGCAGATGACTACATTTCCCATCTCTTCCGGGGAGGTCGTGCTGGCGCAATGCACGACGGGCATTGCAGTTCCCGCACCCCTCCTGGTCCGTACTGTGGGACGAGGCCCCGGGCACCTAAAAACTACTAAAATGGCGGGCGGGGAGGGCGGAAGAAGGGGGTACGGCAACTCCGGGAGGCCATACTAAGCTGCGCGTCGGGGCGGCGGAGTGCACGCGGAATCGGCGGAGCGAGTGCTGAGTCGGTGCTGCCGCCGGCTTCTCTCTTACCCCGGACGCTGGGAGACGCTTCACGGCCGCAGAGGCTTGTGGGGCAGCCACAAAATGGAGGCGAACGGGAGCGGCAGCGGGAGCAGTAGCGACTCGGCCCCTGACTGCTGGGATCAGGCGGACATCGAGACGGGCAGCGGCGCCAGCCCGGGTTCCGCCCCGCCGGCCGCGGAGGCCGAGGCCCAGCAGGAGCTGCTTGGGGCGGCGTTCAGCCGGCAACTGAACGTCAACGCTAAACCCTTCGTGCCCAATGTCCACGCTGCCGAGTTCGTGCCGTCCTTCCTCAGAGGGGCGCCGGCGCCCGGCCTGCCGCCACCGTCGCCCCCGCCCGGCCTGCCGCCGCCCCACGGTGAGTGGGACGGGGTGGGCACCGGGATGGGGCCACGTTGGAAGAGCGCGGGGTGACGGCTGCCGGGCCCGGTGCGGGGGAAGAAGGAAAGGGCTGCGCGGGGCCGGGGGGTGGCGCGGGGCCTCCGGAGCGTGGGGGAGCCGGGCTGCACTGCGCTGGCCTGCGAGGTGGCTCGCAGCCTGGCGGGGGTCAGAAGGCAGCGCTAGGCCCGGAGTGCCCGGGGGTGGGGAAGTCTCGCGCGGGAGAGGGGCTTCGCGAGGGGCGTCACGCGGCTCTGTCTGTCCGGAGGGGCGATAGCATTGCTGTAGGTAGGTTGGTGGTGGCCTCTTGCCCGTCCCCAAAGCCTGTGGGGCCTTAGGGAGGCTTTCGCAGGACCCGGTGGTACGGCAGAGGCGACCTTGTGGGAGGCAGAGCCCTGGTGCGGGTGCTGCGCTCTATGCGCGGGGCCCCCCCTTGCCTCGTCCTGCCTGCCTTCGCTTGCGAAGGGTCACCCGTGGGGAGAATGAGCCACACAGCGGTCGTTTTCCTCGGCCTCTGGAGACAGTGATTGATGATTTTGGTGGTGATATGCGTAGTGTTAGTGGGGGAATGGCACTGCTTCTGCCACCAGTGTTTCAGGCATATTTGAAATGTCTTTCTGAAGATCACATCAAGTAGCTAACTTTATTCTAACATGAAGCTGATAAACAGCTCGGAAGGAATGGAGATTTGCCTGTCTGGCCTATGTCAGTGGACGGACTTGTAATTTGCCCAGCTTTTAATTTTGAAGGGCCATGCAGGCAGCATTAATACTAGGTTTACTTTGCGTATGGGATATTTAAGGAGAGCCTCTTTTCAATTTCCAGCTCCAAACTGAAGGTTCTTCCAGAAGTCAGACATATTGGTTAGTTTTGTGGCAATATATCAGTGTCACACTCGCAGCTAAGGAGTTTGTGACCTGGTAGAGACACTTTCCTGTGTTCTTTTGTGGTTTTTTTTTTTTTTTTTTTTTTTTTGTTTGTTGTTTTTTTGTTTTTTTTCTCCCGTAGAATCTTTCTGTATCCTTACTGATACAGTTTGGAATAAGCTCATATTTCAGATATTGATTGCAGTAGTTTTATTTCACTAAAGCTGCTACTTGTTAAACTGTGTTTATTATGATTTTGTGTTAATCGTGGCTTGTTATCCATTGTGTGCTGATTTAGTACGTGAGTTAGTCTGGCACTTACTGGGATCTACACTCAGCTGATGTTGATAGCTGAAATCTGTAACTTTCACATATGATCCTTTAAAATTTACATTACGTTAACCCCTTTTCTGTTTTAGAGAAAACATTGATTGTGGGTGGTTTTTTTTACAGCTGTTAAGCATTCCTGATCTTTATTGAGAAATGTAGCTTATGTTCTATGTGGGGCAGACAGTATGTCAGTGCATTGAAACATGCTTCGAAGAAGCGCCTTGGACGGACTGTTGGATCTTGTTGAGATTAAATGTGTGTGTTAAGTTTCACTGGTGTGTAAGGCTCACTGTAGAGGTAGAGGAGGAAGTTCGAGGCTGTTCTAAACATGTCATTCAGCTTTAAGTAATATTTAATTCTTCTGTGGTTTTTTTTAGCCAACCTTGTACCTAAGTCTTTTTAACTTTGTAATCAGTGCTTTGACTGAAAACTTTTTGGGGTTTTTTAATGTTAGGAGAACTTTTTTTTTTTTTTTTTTTCCCTTCAGCCACTCTGTAAAACTTTTTTTCCTAAGACTTCCAGTATTTTAATAGGATTTGAACTACTTTTCCTCACCTGTTCATTGTATTTATTTCTTCATGCTTTAATTTTCTCCCCTCTTCTGCTACCTAAAGGGCTTATGGTAAGTTTCTGTCTTTCCAGATACTAAGGGTGACTTTACTGAAAGCTTGTTGTTAATCTGGAGTGATCAGAATAGCCTTTCTTTTTATCTTAGTTGAAGAGTACATTTCCTATATAGTGCTGTGATCTACCTGATTTGAATTCGACTTGCTTCTATATCTTCTTTGAGGTTCATAATTTCATTTTTCTATAATTAGACTTGAGTGTCCTTGAAGTTAAGTAGACAAAAATCTGCTGTTCTTTTCTACTCTCATTAATAAATAAGATAAATTATTTTTTCTTCTTAACTGGAGGACTCTATTTGGTGTGGGTTTTTTTTTTTTTTTTTTTTTCAGCTATGATGTACTCAGTTAAAGTAATTGACAGTCTTGTCCTGGCAGGTGTTTTGTATAAAGTGACAACAACTACTTTCCTGAGTAGGAGAACTAGGTGGAGCTGGCTCTGGAAAGAAATCGGGACAACATATTCAGCACCACTGTATAATCATAGGTTACTTTTCAGCAATCAAGTTTGCTTTTGCTTCTGTAGGCATTCAGGTGTTCCATGACATACATTCTCTATTATCCTATGGGGTACGAAAATATTTATTACCTGTACTGAGGACTGTGCAGATACTTCTTTGAATTAAGTAGGACCCATATCTGAACTCAAGAAGAATCTAGATAATTGTCAGCTTAAGTGGCCTGAACCTAAGTTTTAGTAACTCTTTTCTCCTTAGAACTTTCTCTTACTGAGATTTTGAGTTGTGTTGAGATGTCGTCTTTCTTTTGTAATTCAAAGGGTGTTGTAGATTAAGATCAATGTGCAGTATTAGCATTGGGTATAGAGAAATTCCACAGAACTGATTTCACTTATCTGGCAGTTGTATGTCATAGTGTTTCTTTTTACACACAGTGACTCATATTTTTAGTAATTTATCTAAAAATCCTGTTGTGTGTTTAGAGCACTGAAATGATATTCAGAGGAAAACCATTCAGGGGGTGAAATGCTGCTTTCCTAAAAGTTATGAAGCTTCTGATACCTTCATTCCAAATCATGGTGGTTTTTTTTTTTTCTGCTTTCTTTTGATAGCAAATTGTGTGCTAGTGCTTACTGCTAATGAAATTTCTGCTTGCAGATAGTTTAAGAATCAGTTTAGAATTACTGTTTGATTATAAGCAGAAAGAGTATATTGTTTAAATTTCTGAATCTAAGAAATGTATCTTTAAAAATATGTTCAAATGTTGTATTTGTGAGGACCTGCTTTTATCAAGTTTTGTCAAAACTCATTTGCTCAAAATCTTTCTGGGAGTTCCATCAGAAGTGTGAAATAGAGGCTTCCAAATTTTCTTTGCGACAGATAGCGCAGAGTGCCTTCCAATGAATCGCGTCTAGAACAAATTATGCTTCTAGGGGGAAGCTTCTTTTAGGAAAGCTTCTGCTGGACTAGCAAGCTCAACTAAATTAAGGCAAGGTATGATAGTTAAAATGACAGCATGGTTGTGCTAATGCCTCTAAACGTTCTTGATCATAGATGCCCCTTGCAGCTTTGCTGTTCTGTGACTTATTCTTAGTAAATTTTATTAATGTTGTAAATCAATACTATTGCATTTTTGTTTGTTTCTGTATTAAGGCACAAAGGAACAGTTGCAACACTTTTTTTTTTTTTCTCTTGAGAAAATTGAAGTGTTAATAATTCATACCTGAAATCCAAACAAAGTTTATCCAAATGCAACATCAGCAAATGCAGCATCAATTTACATTATTATGGTTATGTTTTTGTCACAGTACTTGAATGTATGTGGGGTTTCTGGTAAAATCTATTGCAGCTCCCTTGCATGGGCTTTACGTTGTTAATTTTTACACGTCATTTTTCTGCTCTTTGCTGCTGATTTTGCTTGAACCAGGTGACCGAACTAGAAGATTTCCCAGAGTCCCTTCCCACCTGAATTGTTCAGTGCAGTATGCAGTGCTTGTGCTAAGGAAAAGGTGACAGTGATAAAACAATAAGAGGAGCAAATAGGTATATAATGTAACAGCTGGCATAGAGAAGGATAACATTGAGCCTTTTGGTAGCACTAGTGCTACTGCTTCTTCTAACACGTTATGTTGAACACTTCAAGCAGATTTCTGAATGTACTCAGCAATGACTAATTTAGGCAACTTGCACCTACCTACTGTCTCGAGCAAAGCAGGCACCTGGTTAAAGATTCAATGCCCCTTAGAATGTTTCACACCCTAAATATCCTCAGACTTGTAAATATTGATTTGCAAAGCTTACTCTTGAAATAGTTACGTTCAAGCAGCTGGGCATTCGCAGTCTGTGTATAGGTAGTAGTATCTATCATTTTGGTTTTTCCTGCTCTCATTTTTATTTACTTTGTAGCTAGCTGGAACATTTTCTTTTTTTTTTTTTTTTTTTTTTTCTTTCCTCTTTAAAACCAGAAACAAAGGGTCTGTAGTATCTCCTGCGTCTGTTCTGAAGCCTGTAATTTCCAGAGTTGGGTGGAATTACTTCCAAATTGGTGATGTCTTGCTTTGCCCCATTCTGTGTTCTGGGAGGAGGTTCCCCGCTGAGAAGGTGGTCAGGCACTGGAACAGGGGCCGCGTTCCTGGCACGAAGCTGCCATAGCTCAGGGAACATTTGGACAGTGCTCTCGGACATAAGGGTTTGATTTTGAGAGGTCCTGTATGGAGGCAGGAGTTGGACTAAAAGTTTTTTTTCTTTGTCTAAAACTTATAGTTCACTGAGCTAGCATTAAATGGGTTACAAGTTTATGTGACTTACTCATAACAACTTCTGAGTAGCTACATGATGATAATTTCCACACATACAGGGAACTGGTGACACTAGTGCTCGTAATTATTAAATAGCTCATAATTGTAACCTTAACTGTTTATATGAATGAAATTTAGTGCTATCATGTGAATACTAAGACATGGTATAAGTTAAATATTAAAAAAAAATCTTGAGTTACGTTACCACTTGACTGTTTAGAGCATTGGTGTCCTTTATCAGCTACTCTTGATGGCTGACCTGCATAGCCTCTTTCACGGTGGTCAGCATGGAGAAAGGCTGTATGTCTTGGCACTGCCTTGCAAGATCACCAGCTATAGTGTACGCATGTGGTGCAGTTAGGGTGCCACTCTGGTGTTGGTTGTCAACATCTCAGTTGTCTGCAGG